CTGCTCGCTGGTCATGTTCGCGACGATGGCGGTGGGAAGACCCATGAGGCCGGCAGCCTTGTTCTCGGAGGCATCGCCCCATCGATTGCGCTTCTTGCGGCGGCGAGGGCCATCGGCGTCTGTTCCTGGGTGCCGGTTAGCTTTCCGAAGCGGATGGACAGCACACATAAGGGCTGAAGGCAACTTACTAGGCTCGATGCTGCGACCGCGCTTGAGGTCACGGTCAGGCCCGTCGGAATAGCCATTGCCATTGCCATTGAACTCAGATCTGATGGGAGCTGCTTCCTCGTTGGCATCAGAATCGCCGAATCTGCGCTTTCCCAGAGGGATGTTGTTGGAACCAGTGATTCCTTGGTTTCTCCACGACATCTTGACAGGTCTGCAATGCCCTATGCAGATGTTTGCGTTGTGGTTTGGTCGACGAGTTGAAGAGAGAGGGTGAAGAAGGGTGCTTGAAGATTCACAGAACCCCGAAACTTGAACTGGCAGGAGTGGGCCAGTTGGTGGCGCTAACTATATTTGGCTCTAGCGCATGGACCCTGGTCTAGGAATTATGAGTCTAGGCTCCCATTGCAAAGATGGGCTTCAAGGTTGTTGAGATGACAAGAACTTAATTTTTGACAGCATTTTGCCTCACCTTCTCAAGATCTGACAACTCATCGCAGGAATGGAATTTAAATATTTTGGATTACTGTCTAGATCTAACCGAGTGATACTTGGCTTGCAAAGACGCACTCTATGCCATCAAAGATGACTAAGTAATGCTTCGCTTACTAATTCCGCTACTTGTCACTTTGAATGATTCTCATTAGATGCACACCCACCACAGCAGACAACTGATAGTCGCCTAGATACCTAAGGTAAGTAGCAAAAATATAATTTTGACAGCTGAGTCCAAGGAGGAATCGCACATCAAGAAATAATACTTCGGTTGCTCTGCATAGGAAATGGCTTGCTCTCATTTTTTCGCATCAGCCTTCATACCCTGCTGGACCCAAGCCCTGGGGCCCGCAGCCTTTGCATCCATTTCTTCCTCACTCAGCTTGGCAAGCTCAAAAGCAGTGTGCTTTGACGGTACGTGGCGGCCCTTCTCAAATCCGGGGCGCTCCAGAAGCTTGAACAGCCACTTCTTGAGGTTGGGAAACTCATCAATGTCCACGCCTGACCACTCTGTTCCAGGCATTACAATCATCAGCAAAGTCGCAATACATAGAGACCAGCAAATCGTAGAGAGGGACTTACTGGCCGTTGCAACCCACCCCCAGCATGCCATGTCAGCGATGGTGACGCGATCGCCCACCAGGAAGCCTGACGGGTTCTTCCCGAGGGTTGTATCCATCGTACGGTACAGACGGCGGGTCTCGTTCTGGTAGCGAGATATACCGTAGGGGATCTTCTCTGGCGCGTACCGAGTGAAGTGGTTACTCTGGCCTTGCATAGGGCCAACTACGAAACGCGATTGTCAACATCCCTAATTCAATCCAGCGGCTGCAGGGACTCCGAGAAATACACAGCCTCCTCAAGCCTCTTAGAAATGCCTCAAAGATGAGAACAGGCGCGGGGATGTTGCTTACGTCCTCCCATCTGCCAGTGGAGCTGTTTGAACCGATTAGCACACCTGGCAAGATTCTACCGCGACTTCAGAAACTCACCCAATTGTTTGTCTCGTAGTACTCCTTGGATCCGAACGGGTACGAAACCTTGTGGTCCGGGTCATACTTGTCCACCAAGTACTGCATGATGGAGCCACTCTCGAACAGGCGAATGGTAGAGCCATCGGTGAATTTATCGGTCAAAGCGGGAATCTAGGGTTGATGTTCAGTGCCTATGGATGGTCTTATCATTGGAAACCATAGCATGGGAGTTGACTTACTCTGCCATTGGGATTGATCTCGAGGAACCAATCCTCCTGTCTGGCTGTCAGTACGGATTATCTTGCTATCTACCAAGACGGTGGCAGATGTGTATGCAGCCAGGGTCGACCCACTTTCTGCTCATTCTTAGAAAGATCGAGGCTGGATGTCTGCTACCAAGTTAGTGGACGAAAACAAACGAGGATTGGACCTTATAAGCAGGACTGACCTTGTACGACAGGCCGAGCTCCTCAAGTAGGATCGACACCTTTATCCCGTTCGGGGTCGCGCCAGTATCTGTGGCGTGGTCAGCGACTCAGCGGCCAGGGCAGACACTCCGTATATGGCTCAACGTACAGAGGTGAATGTCAGATTTAGCGGCCATTTTGAGATGGCTCGCGATGCTTCCGATTCTTGTGGACATCTGTTGGCAGTCCAGATTCCTCTCGATGATGGACAGAACCGGGGAAGTCGTCTTATAGTCGCACTGAGCTTAGGTAAATCGGTCCGCTTATAAATCACCTGTCCCGATTACTCCACACTAACAATAAATGTTGCATCTACATAGTACACCGCGCCCTTATGCCGCCCCTTCCCAGCATTCCGTCGATGATATGCTAAATACAGGTAGTGCAGAGAAGATGAAACATCAAGGAACAGACTGGAAATCTTTAAATTGAAATGCCTTGAATTCCAAACCTCAATGCATCGGCATGCTTCGCCATCGCGCCCTTTGAGTGGAACGTGTTCTACTGAATCACGGAATAGCAAGGTGTGCTGTATGATCCACCTGTCCTAAGGAATTCCAACTCTGTCCCCTTTCTCCCAGCACTTTACCCACAAGAAAAGTAATCATATTGTGAGCTTGATATTAATCTCGAGCCTCTGATTGGTTGACGATGCTGGTGTCAGACTTGACAATAGATCGAGCTACTGTAAGCGCAATCTGGGACCTGTCGGCACGCAATCTGAGACGGCGTTTTGGTCTTGCAACCCTCGATATACATTATAACCTTTCGTATACCTAGGTAGTAGAACTGTACTAGCCCAAAATGACTAGAGAGACTTCCGATACGCTTGACGGTTGCCTCATCTGGGTACCCAATAAACCTAGGTACTCATGGAGCCATTGATGCTTTAACGTATCTACCCGTGTAGTACAAGTCGTATTGCCTGTGGTCCGTAGCGCATGACATACTCATATGCGGCGATGCTGTGCTTCTATTTTCAACTCATTGCCTTCATACCATAAAGTTCAGGACACATGTGACGTCTTCTCCGCCTCAAGACAATCAATCAAGTTAACGCTACACGACGCCCTCAAGTCACCTTTCCATGAGTCCTCTCACCATAGACTCGAGACCTCACCTAGGCAGTGCTCATCAGGTATCCGTGTGATCAGAGTCTTCGCAAGTGTGTTGCCGACGCCCAAGCCACTATGTTTATTAATCAAATTATTAACTGACAGACTTGTGAGCAAAGAGTAAAGAGAGCTGAGGTGATTGCCGTGGCATGTGGAATCGTACTTTGCTCCGATTGCCACCTCCAATACCGGGCTGGAAATGCCGACATAATTTCGCAGTGGATGGCAGCAATCCCCCCAGCAGAAGAATACCCTTACAATTCCGTCTGGAGTAGTATACGCTGAGTGCTCGGTCGAGAATCCTAAGATGGCCCTTATGCGATGAAGTTGTACCCAAGGTACTTCAAGACGGTAATAATTACCAAGCTCTGAAACAACCAGTTGAAGTCGCGGAGATGAGGCATCAGCTAGTGGAGGTGGTGCTAATAAGGGTGGAGGTCCAGACTGAGACTGATGCTGGGGTACAGCTGGGGATGCAGGCTGAGATTGACGCTGGGACTCTGGAGGCAGAGGGAGAGGCTGTGGTATAGCATTTCCAAAGTTGGGCGCAGGATGGTGAAGAGGAGGCGCAAGAGGAGGCGCAAGAGGAGGCGCAAGAGGAGGTCCATGATATCCCAAATTTGGTGGATCACCAGGACGGTTGAACAGCGTGCTTGCTTGGCCAGTGGCGGTGGGTCGAGCGTCCGCTTGCGGGCCAGTGTTGTCGACCTCGGTATCCGAGTTGTTTGCACGGCCGTCACTCTGCTGAAGGGATCCTTGTGAGCCGAGACTGAGGTTTGAGGATCTTCCCGGTGGTTGACCATAAAGGTGTCCTAGCTGTCCCGTCTGTATTGTTGTTTGCGGGTTGACAACCCCAGGTAAATTGCGTGGAAACTGTTGAGGTTGCCCAACTGAACGTCCCAGCAGAAACGGGTTTGCGCGAAGGCTTGAGCTGCCTGCATTTTGAGTTTGGGCTTCGTTGCTTCCAGACGTAAGACCCATGGATGCCAGACTTTGTACTCGAAGTAGTCTACCTAATGTTGCTGATTTTGTTTCTGCTGCATGCGTTTGTTAGTATGAAGCCCAATGTGGACACGGTAAGTTTGTGTATCAACATTGAGAGATCTCGGAGTCCCCATGGTGCCTACCTGTGAGAGTGCTGTATTGATCGTAGCTTCCCGTAGTCTGTCAGGACGGCTGAATGGGCACAGTTCTGCCACCGTATCCATGAGCAGGAGTGAGTACCATCTTGTGTGTTAATGTCTGCTACTATAATTTGCTTGGGCTTTGTATGCGAAACTACCTCTGCGATGGATCGACTTGAACTGCGCTTCTCCGGATGTCTACGTATCATGAAGTTATCTCTCGAGGAAGGCACCGCCACCAATACTCATTCTTTGATATGCAAAGACAGTCAAATACGTGGAAGGTGGATGACTTTTGGACCACAAGATCGGGAAGTGAAACACATGGACTCTCAGTCTCTTTTCCTGGCAAAATGGGGAACTCTTGCAAAAGTCTCAGCACTTCCACAGTATAAACAATAAGATCACACGGCCAGCCATTTGAGCTTATATCCAAATTAGCACTGGAGAAAGGCAGTCTTGACAAAATGCGCAAAAGTCATTGTTCATAGCAACTCACATTGTTCATTGGCTGTTTATGCCGTGTTGCGGCACGCTTTTGTACCAATCCGGGGTCGGGCTGCTGAGTGAGGATCTTCGGATCCACAAAATCCACCCACGAGAAAAAATTTGCAATCTGGCTATATGAGTCACAAAAGAATTCGGAAACAACGCAATAGCAGCTGCATAGCTCAGGGGAAGAGTGAGTTCGCTTTACGTCCACCAAAAAAAATCCAATAAATACTAACCAAATACAGGCGCCGGGCTCATAAATTAGCAACCCGGAGGTCCAAGGATCGAAACCTTGTGCAGCTAAATGCATCCTTTTTTGATTATTTTTGCTACCACCTGCACAACACATGCACTCCAGTGCTTTCAAGGCTGAATCGCCCTCCTCCTTTGCCTTCAGAACCAATTCCACATACTGTCCTTAAACCACAACCTCTGCTTATATGCTGGTAGACATGACATAAAGTTCGCATTACGATCTCGCTAGCTGGAAACCATTTTTCATTGACCCAACATCATGCATCCTTGCCTACTGGGCACTTTGTTCGACCAACCATCTTATACCATTCTGCCCCACCTGTACAAATACGGCAACAGGTTCTTGGACCAAAGATGGAAGTTGTTTTCGTAACAGCGTTACGAACCCTTTCGGCAAAAGAGAGTTGAAATGCGTGGCATACAAAGCTTTCAATCCGATGTTTTGCTTGCTGCAAGTCGATGTTACATCTTTCCACGCACTCCGAATTCTAACTATGCTCTTTGGTGGGTGAACATGCTACCAGCAGCGGCATCACGTATGGTCGCATATCGTACGTAGGTCAAGGTAATCGCCTACCTACCTAGGTAGGTATCTACTAGATGCCTGCAGCGAATTGCTCTAATACATATCTAACAGCCAGACGAACCAAGGGCTTGGAGTACAATAGGCTCTGCTTTTCGATACTGATTCTATTACATATTAGCACGCCCATCACATCGTTTCGCAGCCAGTATCTCGCCCATGAGATTATCGCCAAATAATACTATGCATTGTCCGCAGGCGCATTGTCTACGAGCCCTTGGCACTGCGTAGTATGCAATGGTAAATGTCTTCTCGGTCTTTGGTGTCCTGGGTCCCCCGACTGTCGCCTCCGCACCTGGGAAGTATGTCATTTGGTTATATTTCCAGGAACCTTTGATTGGTTAATTAAGAGCTGAAGGGCGAGTCTAGGGTACCCGCTGTTGGGGTTTGAGAGAACGAGCGCAATATTCTAGTAGTTGACGAAGGAATAACTCCAGGCTCACCGCCGGAGTCGTGGGTAGTGTACCGATTCGCGCCGGGCCTTCACCGTGATGGCCGTAGACGTTGTGGACGAACGGGGCTGGATAGCCTGGGTGACAACTTTGTTTTTGACCCTTTATCTGCTTTGTTATTCATTTCTCTCACTTGCGTTCTCAGATAGCAGCTGCGCTGACTGTATGTCTGCCATGACATCTAGGAGGTGTTGAATGAGTGGTTGGTAGACATCGTACATGTTAGCTGCTGAGTCGATTGCAGGCCAACGAATGGCAGACTTGCGGCCTGGGCATAATAAAATGGGCCTAAAAACAACAACCTGTCGACAATTTATATACGCAGTCGACAGGACCAGCGCAATGGCTTTGGCCCCTACACGCTGATTATTTCTGCAACGGGAGTCTTGATTTTGGATAAGTTCGGTCCCCCTCGAGATTCAGAAGATATGCAGGAAAGGCTTACGCCCTCGCCCCTAACTTGTAAAAGTAAGCGGAGTTGATTTGCGAAGGTTCCATTCGAAGAGAATGCCTTCGGCCTGCTTGCAGTACGAGCATACCCATGCACGAATCGTTGTAGTGGTATGAGATTCACTCTAGCTCCCCTTGTCTGGCCGTAATCAGGCCCACCTCCTCGGGGATATCCATAGTTAGGGAAAACGATGCACATAATCGACTGTTGGGAAGAGAATTGTTCTTGGCAGTATATATTGTTGGAAGATCATGAGCCTGGCGCTTGGAAAGGCACCTCCCTGGACACGTAAGGTCCGGAGAAATTGGCGTGTCAGAACGGAGTTGTCCTGGTGCTCTGCCCTGGATAGAAATATTCCAGTCTCACTTTTACGAAGGAGGCGCTGAAAACTGAGAAGAGTTCGTTATGAACGATTGGGCAGACTTGTTGAGAAACGTGGGACCCTTGGAAGCTTGGGTTCCGTTAGGACAGGGACCTCCCTGTATGTCAATCCCCGCGACAGGGACCCTGGCCCCACTCAAAATTTCTATCGATAAGCGCAAGACAAGACGCAAGATCGATTCTCCAAACAACTTTTGACTTCTCAACACATCACGAACCAGACAAAAATGGCAAAACCAACGACCAAAAAGGCCAAAGGTAAGGAATAATCCCACAACACCAAGAAAAACCTTTCTCCCAACTCTGCCTGACCATCACTTCTTCTAGCCCCATCCCTCCACTCTCGCGCAGCCCGCCGCGCAACATCCCCCTCCATCAATACCGACAAGTCTCTCAAGGATGTCCAACCGCCCTCAGAATCGCTCAATCAACGACCCGCTGTACTCGGCCTCCACCAAAATGCAGGTGTCACCAAAAAGTCCAAACGCGGCCGCAAGGCTGTCATGAGCACCCGTGCAAGAGCGAGACATGAGAGGGGTCTGGAGAGGGCAGAGGCGATTGTGGACCGCACGGCGACTAAGGTACAGAAGAGCAAGTACTCCGCTTCTCGGGTAGAGACGCGGAAGAAGGCATGGGACGAGATCAATGCCGCGGCTGGAAAGGTTGGTAAGAAGGGGACAAATATGTTTGCGGGCTTGGAGAACGACAACAAGGACGAGGGCAATGACGATTGGGAAGATGTGAAAGAGTTGGACGACGAGATGGCCGAGGCCAACCCGGTTGTCCCTGTGAAAATGGACAGTACATCGAGCTCTGCTACCCCGATAGTAGCAGCACCACCCTCTGTCGACGAGGATGAGGAAATTCTTTGAGGAAATAGACCCACAGGGGGATTTCGGCATTTGAACAGTCATGACCAAGGCGTTGGGGAGTTGATACCAGATGAATCTCGACATCTTTGCTGATAGAGACTCCGACTCCGACTGTCTCCTTTTCGAACGTTGTAAAGTGTCCAGGGAGTTTGTCCAAGACATGATATACCCCCCAGCAGAACGGCATGCTCCCATGCCGCCTTGGAAGATACGTCTCCCTTCACTATCGTGCAAACAGGGGCCCCAGATGGCCGTTGTGATGGCAAAAAGCAGACTGAAGATAGCAAGGACAATCTGCAGAATGTCTCCAAGGTTCAATGGTCCAGGATCCATTGTCCCCGGGGCAGTATCTCGACTCTACTCGATGTGAGCCATGGCCTAGTATGAGGTTCGGCTCTTGGTGGCACTGGAACTCACAATGGGTGTCGCATGTGCCGCGCAGGCCAATAGCAGTGCCGAGAGACAAATAGCAACTTTGGTTTCCCACCGGCTCATATAGCGTGGAGCCACGGCGGATGAAGTCTGAGCGATAAGATTGTGGAGATGCCTTCTAGCCACGGTTGGCGTCAATGATGTGATGACGACGAGCGGTGGATTGTCGCCGCTTTTCATCGCACATATGGGATGGGTAATCATCTGCTATGTACAATTACAAGTTCACACGTCACGGGCCTTTCCTCCTTCTCCACATGCAGCATGGTTCATGCCACCGCGAACAACGTACTCGGATTGCTGAGCATAAAAGAGCTGCAGACCGGACGTAGCGAGGTATGTCGTTGGAAAGATGGAGGAGACAAATTTCTGCATGGTTTCGCCACATTTTGCTGAGCTGGGTTGCGCCTTGCAAGGGGAACCGGCCAGGCGGCCAGGCGGCGCTCACATCACCCAGACCGGTGTTATCGGCGGACATCTCGCATCAAGCAGACTGAGGGAAGGGGATAACTTCGCATTACACAAATCGGCGAATGGGGTGGTATGCGCCAGCGCGCCTCGTACTGTTGGGGGGTGGGT